ATTATTAAGTGAGGAAGTAAAGAGTGGGTATAGGCATTGAGAAATCCGTTGATGACAAACAGCAGTGCAACAGAGCGCGACAGCACAAGACCGCTGAAGGCCTAGATCGAAGTGGAGCACATTGATAAAATGAAGTTTAAAGCAATGCAAGTAACACAACGAGCTCAATTGCAAATGGTCATTTACTGGGCAGTGTTGTCCCATAACGCACCAACCGATGACTATGTGCCTATGTATAATGGCTAATGCCAGCAGCCCTCATCGTAGTGCGTTTCATGGGCCTTAAGGGAATCAGTAAGGTGGAGCCAACACATTTAGCTAAAGCCATATACATCTGCTAGAAGTATTGCTATAGTGTTCAATCAAATGGGTTGTTGTTAGTGTACCAATCAAATCCCCTTCCAATACAACGTCTCCATTTCTCAAATTTTTTCATTTCACTTCAAGTTCTATGAGTCAGTTTCAAGAAAAAAAAGAAAGAATGAAAGAATTGCTAAAATTATGCAAAAAATAATTTTGACAAATTAGCAAAATAGAAGATTTATTTTAACGCTAGTAATCATTCTCTTTTGTTTAATCTTCAAAGTTTTACAGTTTTATTGTATAAATTAAACAAATTGAGAATAAATTATTGATGTTTAAATGGAACATAGAAAAGATATAAAAAGATAACAATAGTTGGAGAAGGAAGGAAAAAATATGTGAATAAATAATCACAATAAATTTTACTTAGGAGACAGATAAACAAAGAATATCAAATTTGGGTCAATGAAATAACTGAAGAGACCAAAGCTCATCCTGATTATATTCTGAAATTGAAATCCATCAATCTGTGAGAAATTTTTTTGTTCAACGATGTTTACAATTATAAAAATATATCAATCATTATTTTGAAAATCTGTGTAAAAATCACAGCTCACAGCAAACGTTTCAATACCAAGTATTTTGGCTATGTAAAATAATGGAAATAATGGATTAATCAAATGTTTAATAGCTGAACTAATCAACACCTTTTGTACCAT